TTCACGAGCCCCTCAATATGTTGGTAAAACCGCTTGGAAATCCAGTAACGCCCCTCACGATTATCGTCTGATAGAATGGGACGAATGAACCAATGCCAGGTGTAAAAAGCCGGTGATTTATTCGATGTGGTCATTTGATAGCTAACTGACTGCATTCCGCTAACTTTTAAATGCATGCATATTTGTATTTTCGCCCCCTTGACCCCAGTGTCAGCTCGTCCCCGTGACGAAATCCCGTAGGTCAATCCAGCTTACTGCCTCAATAGGCAGGGAGTCTACGCTTTTTTATTTTGGTGCCGTGGGTGGCTCGAACAGCCGCTAGCAAAATCCCTCGCTGTGGCCAAACCTTTCATTTTTAGCCTCGACGGTCTATATGCATTAACGTCGAAAGGTTGGTGGATTACTTCAGAGACCTTACATGTTCCAAGACACCAGATCATAGAGAACTTCGTCAACGTGCCATTCCCACCGGCAGGATCGGTCGGATCAAAACGACCTCCCTGCATTCGTGTGTTCAGACGTGCGGACGAACCCGAACCCGAACCTAACAACTCCGTCCACAACAGGGGTAGGAAATAGGGCCCATAGATGGTCTGCTGGCCGCTCTGCGGCAGTCTCCAAGCAGGGCATGCCTCTCCCCGGGCTCTGCGGCAGTCTCCGAGCAGGGCATGCCTCTCCCCGGGCTCACGTCGCCGAGCGGATCCGAAAGGAAGCGTCAGGAAGCCCGGCTACGTCACGCGGCGTAAACAGACCGCCTGACGTCAGGCATTGCGGCTCTGTGCTGCGGCGGAGCGCCCCGCCAGGGCTGGGGGACGCACGCTGTCCGGCCGGCACCGCTCTCCAGGCTGGAGTTCCCCGTTCATCCAGCAAGGTCGGGCGTGCCTGCCCTCTGGATCGGGCTCCGTATGACGCATGGAGCGGAGGACCGAGGACGCTTTGGTAAAACCGAGCGTTTGTTCGTCGGGCTCGTCGAACTGGGGGCGCAACGCGCGCAGCGAAGTAGCCACTGCTCCGCTCACTGGTGTTGGCTCGGCAAGCCGGTTGTCGGAACGGGCCGCGTCATGAGGCGGAGAAGCCGCAGCACGATAACTCGAGCAATGATGTCATCAGGATAACTAGAGAAATGATAATGCTATGCTCGGGTAGATGGCTACTCGCGGCGTAACGTCAGCAGTAGTTGCACCTAAATCTGTTTTTTCAGTCGTCAAAAACATATTCAAATCATCGATCATTCGAGCTCTCTCACCTCTGTCGGTAGGGCAATGCATGTTGTAAAGCGAACATCTGCTTTCATACTAGTGAAAAAAAATGTAATCGCAATGGCCTGCATATGGATGTCGTGCCTCAGTCAAAATATTGACTGCTGAGACTGCTGGGAGCGGGACAGTGGGATCCTGCGCACCCATCGGGATTAGAACTGATAACGTTGCCCCCCCCCCCCCCCCTCGTGAGAAGTGGCTCATTGCCGTCCCGTTGCTCGGACGCAGTTGAGTTGTCCACATGACATAAAGGAGGGATAGCCATTTGCGGAAGGCGATATATCGTTCGGAATGATATACGTATATTTATATATTCATATATGTATATATACTATTTTTGGTAAGGTTACACCGGAGTACTTTTGACCGTAAACTATGAAAAATTGGCAAAGTTTGTAGCTAGAAATATTTTATGGAAAGCTTTGAACCCTAACTTTTTGAAAACCTTTAAGTACTGGGCAGTGCACGAGTAGCGGTTAAAAGGCGGCTTTGCTCAGCTTCCCATTTTCCGAATGTTTCTCCGCCCTGGCCTTCCAAGGAGTATCTCAAAAGTACCGCACGATAGAGTCTAGTCAAGACTTTAAGTGAATCCTTAAGCCAAAGGGTTCGATCTTAAATCAGCGGTATAAAGCCCACGGACTAGAATTTGGGACTAGGTGGGGGTGTTAAGATATCCTGCAGACATTAAGGAACCGGTTCTCCGACCTCCTGGTAGTGGAGCCGTTCTAAGAAAGCAAAAATCACATCAATGTGTTGGTCCCAAGCGCTGCAAAAAAACTAAATTGTTATCCAATGATAACGAAATGAGATGGGAAATATCGACAAAACGGTCCCGATAGCCGTGGGAGCGGGGTGCTGAATCGATGCGGGTGGTGACTGGAGCAGTTAGGTGCTCGCAGCACCACTGCTTTCTCAGCGTCACCAGATGGAGGCCGCTATCGAATGCTCTGGATGCTGCAGCAAGTGTTGTCATCAGCCAAACCTCACCAGCTGGAGGCCCATGTGCGTTCATGCCGGTGGCCATGCCTGAGGGTGACGCTAGCATGGCTGTTCCCTCCCACGAGTGTTGCTGACCATCTTGGGTCTAGTCATCTCGCGCGTGAGACATCGCACTTCAGTTTATGGACGGGGTCAGCTGTTAGCGTCACCAACCGCTGAAAGTAGCTAACTTTGCTACCAGAGTAGTAGCTGGCCTCCAAAAGTACGACCGCATGTCTGCTGCGCTGGATGGCTGGCACCTTACTACTTGTCGCCAAATGTGTGACGTGCAAGCTATTACCGCCGTGCACTTGGCCCCTAAACGAGGGGAGCCTGCAGATCTTGACTGTGTGTTTCAAGCATACGCCTACGCGCAGACCTGGGACTGTTCTACCCGCATGGATCAGAACCTGGGCCCTAGCGGTGCGTGCGGCGGCAGGACAGCGGTTCTTCGCATAGTGAGCGGCTTGCCTCTCTCTGACAGGTGACGCATGCTAACCACGTGCTCACGTTGAGTGTTAGCTCATGTCAAATAATGATGCAGCTCTTTTTGAAAATCTGTCATATTCTTCTAGCCATTCATGGTCTCACTACCTGAGGTAAGGTGCATATGAATACGGTTAATTTATACAGACGGATGCCGTTTTCATTTTTAACGCAAAACAATCACAGTTGGAGGTTTGAAGTGAGTCGTTGCGGTGTTGCCCGATGCCCTCCTGCGCTGCTATGGTTATAATCCTCCATGCCTACACCATGGAAAACAACTTCAAAGATCTGTCCGAGATGGTACCTGCTGGAGTCCTCAAAAAACTGTTCTTCTTAAAATGTTAACGTAGATTAAAAACTGTGGTGGATGAGCTAAACGTGGTCACCAGATAGAACTCCAAAATGAACGTATTTACTTATCATTCTATTTTGGGAGAAGAAAATGAACCAACAGTACGGAAAGACTCCACCAGTGTGGCCTTATAAACGGTAACTTGCCTTCCAAGTTAAAGCCAACATACATTTCCTAGTTACGCACGCATTTCATGGAAGCTTTCTATTAAGTTTTTTGTAAGTTGCATTGTAAATTTGTTCAGTCGCATTTTTCACTTACGCACCTCTAGTTGCAACCGTTCGCCACTAAGACCCACTCATCAGTAAGTCCAGCCACTGCGGGCTAATTCATTCTCGGGTAGCCAACGACTTCAACTGTCGAACGCCACATGCGCCAATAGACAGACGCTCACTTCCGTCTCTGACAAAAAAAAAATGAACACAGTAGCAGCTACAACCTCTTATCCACTCCCACTGACACAGAAGAGAAATGAACACAGTAGCAGCTACAACCTCTTATCCACTCCCACTGACACAGAAGAGAAATGAACGCAGTAGCAGCTACAACCTCTTATCCACTCCCACTGACACAGAAGAGAAATGAACACAGTAGCAGCTACAACCTCTTATCCACTCCCACTGACACAGAGGAGAAATGAACACCTCGAAAAAAGTCATCAAAGTACCGTTACGCTACGTAAATAGCAACGGCGTTACTGCGTAACCACGTAAATAACAGCCGCGTAACACATGCGTTGAGCATGTTCTGTTAATTTTCACGGCAAAGTAAAGCAGTTCGTCTGTCCCGATGACTCAGTTGGTTAGAGCGCCTGCCCTCCGACCCATTCAGCCGTGGTGGGGTGGGTTTGAGTCGCCTTAGGCGCTCGCTGTTTGTCCTTGACGCCAGATATGTCTCCGGCCGACCGCATCAGCCGCGCTAAAAACCAGGACACGTCAGGGAGCAGGACGGACCGTGCCGAGCCGTGCGGCACCTGCAACTTTGGCCACCAGATTCTGCCGTTGACCTTGAAAGGCGCGATCGGATCACAGTGCTCAGGCCCTTCAGACAGCAGGCACTGCTCAGCTTCAGCTCTGATCCCAGAAATCCATCCAGCCAGTGTAAAACCTTTTAAGAGTTAAGTCAAATGCGGCCGAGCGCAAAGCCAAAACTCGAGCTGGTGATCATGAAAAAAGACGCAAAATTCTCATGATATATCAAAAAACGCACAGAAACAGGACGAATGCTTCCTTATGATGATGCCTTCTAGGCTCCCTTAAAGTCAGTTTTGAACAACTGGCATTTACATCTTGGCCGATGTAATATGCGTATGTTCATGTGTTCATGTCCTAATTCCTGCGTTTGCCTTATTCTCATTCATAAAACATTTGCTTGTTATTATTTACATAGACATGAGTTCAGTCCAGGACCGAGGGATGGTAATATTTGACCTCCAGGTCCCAGATTAAAGCCTGCCATGGCTTAACCTTCGACAGGAGTCAGGAGCTCCCTAAAGTCCTGCCGAGGTGTCCGCCGCCGTCGCGCGAGGGAACCCGTCACAGCTGACCGCCATGGAGCGATGGGGCGACCTGAGCCGCCTCACCACAGGGCTGTTTGTGTGACGTGCGTCCTCGTCAGACTACCTGGAGCTACCAGAGCTCACCAATGTGCGACAGCCCGCGCGACGAGGCGCCGCGCTTCATCAGCTTTACCTGCTGATCCGCACATCCTCCACGGCTCGGCGTCGGGCCGGCGCACTGCCTGCCAGCACAGCTATGTGCCTGTGCAAGGGCGGCGCCGCGGCTGACGGGGCTGGGAGGCCGGACCGGCCCCTCGGCACGTCCTGCTCACCTGAGTGGCCGACGAGGCCAGGGTCGGCCGGCGGCCTCCCCGCCAGCCGCCCGTCCGACCGGGTGACTTTCACGGCGCCGGCGGCGGCGGCGGCGGCGGCGGCGGCCGCGCAGTAGAAGCTGGACGGCCGTGCGTGACGCTGCTGAGTGGGAGAGCGGCCGGAGACCGACACTTGAAGGCAGTGACGCATCCCGCACCGACGCACGGTCAGTCGATTTGCCCGCTGTAGGGAACACGGTACAGGGCAGAGGTGCGCCGAATGGGCACGGAACAGTTGGGCGGCAGCTGATGCCAAAGACGAAGCTTGTATGCCCAACCCCAAGTCAATTCGACACAAATGTTGTTTTAGGGATTGCGCACGTTATTTAGTGCACGGCATGCTCTTTTTGATGTCGGCAACTTGGCTGTTGCTAGATTTCAAAGCAAACTTTACTTTGAGCTGATATAGACTGGCATATTTTCGAGGGAATTGATAGCAATATGCAAACATATGTTCATGCCAAAATTGGGTTGTCATTTACCACCGATGCTCTCATGCTTGCATGCCGTAAATGTGAGGGCGACATATAGTGCACTGCATAACAGTAGCAGCGTAGGAGTGAGTAGGGTGGATGAAAACGGCAAAAGTGAACAGCAGGCTGCACGATGTAGAAAACGGAGCGCTCTCCTCCACCTCCTCATTCCTGCTTCTCTCGCACTCCTCTTTCCTCTCTTTCTCTCATCCATCTATGGCTTTTGTATTCCTTTCCCTCCGCCCCTATCAGGTCCTTCATTGCCTCGCGTTTCGCACTTTTAAATTTACTTTGGACCTGTTATCTTAAATTGCGCGTCGTCTTCAAGCTGACGTCATTAATCGAAACTCAATCGCTGCCCCACAGCCGCAGTGCGTCGTGTGTCGTTTTCTCACTACGTATATTCCTCTGCGTCGATCATTTTGTGACGCATGTCCAGCCGGACTGCGCATTTCCGTCTTGAAAGTTGCTCAATAACGACAGCACGAAGCTGAAAGCACATTCGCGACGCACTGTCGCGCATACGAAACATCGCACGGCCGGAAGCGTCAGCAATTCAGCATGCTAAGGAGCCCGCTTCAGAAGGGTGCCCCGCTGGCGCGGGCTGTCGTCTGTTTGCGTGATTCCCGTGGAGATGTGGGCGGGTCGCGTTACGCTGCGGGGCGGCTTTCCCAGTGGCATCACCGACTGTCTCCATGAAGCGACTGGCACGAAACGGCCGGCCGCCTCGGTGGCCGGACAGAGGGATTTCCAGATGCTTGGAATCCAGCCGGGTGGGTATGGCCCTGAGGTAGGTGACGTGTACTGGTGGTCCAGTTGGCGCGCGCTGAAGGTGCAGTGGGGCAGACAAGTCGGAGTCTGGACAATACGCAGCTGGCGTCGGCTGAGTGGCAAGCTGCAGGACCAGTGGACGCCCCACACAGCCTCTTTGACCTAAGCCAGCAGTGCCACCTTTTGACCCAAGCAAACGACTTTGCTCCAGAGAAATCAACCATTGCTTAACGGTCTCTGAGCGTTGCGGTGTTAGTACTAAGACATAAGTCACCGCTGCAAAAATGTGGCTTGATGCGGCTCCGTCCGGAGACTGGCAGGCTTTGATCGCCTAAGCGTGCTCGTCATGGCATGACATTTTATGGAAAATGATCTCGGCTTTTGCTGGGAAGTGTAATGCAGAGGTAACTTAGGCACACATGGGCATGGACTAATTGGCTAATTATACAGCGGTCATTGGTACAGCTCAACCACCTCATGTCGGGCTGGACTAGCAGCAGCCAGAGCTCAAAACCGTGGTATGTTCGGAGGCTCAAAGTCGGTTCACGACTCTGAATATCGTTACATGCTGTAGCCTGACTGCTCGAATTAGTGAACTCATCTCAGTGCATTGCGACCGATTTACTAACGTTACTGTGTAGATATACAACCAGAGCGTCTCACAACCAAGCGTCCCACTGTTGAGACGCCATCAAAACAAGACCCGCTCGTGATGGCGGCGTTCCTCTCCGCGAGGCGCCGCCCCCTGCGACCGTTAGCCAGGCCGGCCTTGCTCAGGTGCACGGGCACGGGCGCGGCCGCCAGCCCGTGCAAGACTGCGCATTCAGCCTCGCGCGGCCCGGCGCGGCCGCCGGCGCGCGTGCCTGCATACACTGGTGGCGATGACGGCTCGGAGGCGCATGGCCCTGCGCCGCACCCGGACGCGGAGCTCCATTGTGGGGGTCCGGCGGGGCGTGCGGGAATGGGGCGGTACCTTTGGCGTTTGCCGTGGGTTGGAATAACAAGCCTTTCATCCAGCTATGGGGTGTTGCAGGGATATGGGATTAAAGAGAGGAGAGAGTGGTGGGGTTTGGTTACATGCATGTCGGAGTTCTCCACCACCGAGACTCAGCCCGCACCGGGACCCTTCTCGGTGTCTGTGTGGGTGCTCAGGCGTGGCAACCGTCAGTGGGCCACGCCTGAGCACCCACACAGACAATGCCCGTTAACGCCCTCTACTGGTTGGTGCATGTAACTTGCCCCTTATGAACGGGCAAATTAATGTATATATACACACACATATATATATATATATATATATATATAGATGCATAATACATATATGAATAGACATACAGGTGTGTATATGTATACGTGCATATACAGGCATATATATATATATATATATATATATATATATATATATATACTTGTATACCTGCGGGCTAGGGAAGAGTTATGCGGCACCTCTGCGTCTAGGCGCTGCTCCGCGAAGTACATGCAGACGCGCCTTTGTGTGCGGATGGCGGTGAGTTAGGCGTAAGTAGTCAAACGTGACTGACGGGTCGCTGAACCTCTAACAAAACAAAAAACTAATACGTGTTGGAAATGGGAGTGGGAAGGGCGCTAAGCCGGCCCGGGTGTTTGATGCACTCTGTGTGGCTCTATTGGCGTAGTATTAAGATATACTTTGTGATAGTGAGATTCTCTGCAGCGGGCACAGGTTTCGTAAAGGGAGCTGGCAAGTTTGCTCGTGAAGTTATGCGTTTTTTACTCATTGTGAATAGTGCTGCATGAATAGGTGGAAAAGCTTTTTGTGCAATTTCAGGAGCGACTTCGTAAGAGGTTTGGCTCTAATTTGGGTAGGCACGCTGTGTATCGGACTTGTATCAGGCTCTTCGCCACAGTTAACCGCCTACCAACGAACAAATCACCTTCGAACCGGAACCGTCTGAAGTGTTCTGCAGCCAGCGGCCGACTGGGGAAAGTCCCCCCTGCCCCCTCCCCCATACAACCCCAGTTGCCTGCCCACCCGCCACCTGGCATCCCAAACTATAATGGTTGAATTGAAAAAAGCTAAGTGACAATCTACATCTCTGATCAACTCGGCCAGAGATCCTTTAGTTTATGCTTCTCACGTGACCGGCTATGCCAAAAGCCCCGCAAAATCATCCTAAAAATCCCCATGCGAGACTTCACTGCTAGCCTAATGACCAATGGCCTGTCGAGATATATGAACTGTTTCTTCAGTGAGGTGTCAATTTCATCGCTTGACAAGATCTGAAGATTGTTTTACCTAATCTTCAGAACTTGACGTGCCAGATAGATCTGACACGCGGCGGCAATAATACCCGATACTCAAAGACGTAGTGGTTTGCCTGCAATGCCTCAGGTAGTGGCGGGTCAAGATAATCAATGATGTTTACAAAAACATCATTGATTCCTTCGACGCTAATCTTTACCTAAGCTGGCATATTTGGACTTTGTGACTCCAAAACGGATCGTGAGCTCACCTGGAGTGAGTCCCCTCATCCTTAGGCAGCGTGGAGACCATCAGTGGAGGACTGCACGTCCTGAGACAACGCGATTACATTTCTTTGCTGGTCTTATTCCCAGGGAAAACACGACTATGTCCTTTGCCCTTCCTTCCGTAAGCTGATTTGCTGCTTCAAAGTAGGAAGGTTCTATTTTTGGCAGCATCTCAGATAATGCTATCTACAAGCTCCTTTCAAGAAAATGGTCGGTTTTGGGACCAAGCGGTACATTTATGGCATTAATCTCCTCTGTTTCCGTTCAACGAACCTCTGTGGCCAACAACGCCCGACAGTTGCGTCTGTCTAGCGTAAGGATGCCAATCAAGGCTTTGTCGGCACAAAACGTTCTGTTGCATCAGCTGGAAGATCCGCCCGCACTGCCGCTGGGCAAACCGCCCGTGGCGGACACCGCTGACTAATACCGCTCCGGGCCCCGTCACGCGCTTAGCAATCTTGCCGATCTTACGACAGCCGAAAGGTCCTGCACAACAGCAGACGGAAGGCCGGGCGAACCGGCGCACTGGTGCACTGGCAGCCAGTGAGTAGCTCTGGTGCTGTCGGCTGCCGGGCGGCGGTCTCAGGTCCAGCCCAGTGCCACCTCTGAACGCTGGTGGTCGACCCCGCGCGTGTCTCTCGGCCCCTGGCCTATCCACAGCTGGGATGACACTGTGGCCGACACAATGGATGGCTGTTGGAAAGGATGCGAGAAAATCTGTGGGCCACAGGGCCAAGAATCTCATAACCAATGGTCGACCAAGGGGCAGCGTCTCGCCACCCCCTGGAGGCACGGGTCCCAGTATGATTCAGCAGCTTAAAACGCGCGACGCGCTTCTACAGCATAAAAACGTCCACCGAGGCAGTAAAATAGAATCCCGATTCCCAAAAGATCCCCCAAGGAAAAATAGTACCTAAGGCCATGAAGAGGGGTCTTCTTGACTAGCAGGGTCCCTGTGACCCTAATTGGCCCCCTCCTGGGCGAAATCTTGGTCGACCGCTCCCTGGGTCGCTATCAAGGCATTATGTGAACGTCGATATCCAGGTGCCTGCCGGATAGGTGGTGAGACGTTGAGGACTAGACGTTGCAGACGACGAGGCGTCGCTTGGCTCGCCTGGATAGACTCGTGGTGTATAGGTGCAAAGTGTATAAATGCAACTAAAACCTAGGGTCATAAGTGTCTCCCCTGTAACGGCGCTGAAACGCACAATGGAATCAGCTGAAGAAAAAGAGGAAATATCGTTCAGCGCATGTAATATTCTTCTGGTGAGCACTGGCAAAGACTGTTCTCTAACCCCACCAACAGATGATGGCGTAACGCGGTGGGACCGAATAATTGCTGTGGGTAGCTTTCAGCTGGCAAGATGATGACTAGCCCATGGGTCGAAACCGGGATAACCAGGCGCAGAGACAAC